CCTTTTAGCCTTTATATTCATTATCATTACAGTGTTGAGCATAAAAGCTTAGGGACAGTACCCAGGCCCTGAGTTCAAGCCCTTAGGACTCACACACACACACACACACACACCCCACTGAGCACTGGGGGCTCACTCATGTAATTCTAGCTACTCAGGAGGTTAAGATCTGAGAATCATGGTTCAAAGCCAGCCTGGGCAGGAACATCTGTGAGACTGAGACTCTTATCTCCAATTAAACCATCTAAAATCAGTAGACCTGTGGCTCAAGTGGTAAAGTACCAGCCTTTAGCAAAAAAATTAAGGGGCATGTCCAGGCCCCAATACTGACAGACAAATGAAAAATTTCCCCAAACTATTTCAAACCAAATGGTTGTGTATTTTATTTCTTTTTGCCTTCAGAAAATAGTTTTAAAATTTCTTTTCATTGTCCATGAGCCCTCTTTGTTGATTTGGTCCTTTAAAACAATTATTCCATTGTTATACTATAGAACAAAGCCACCTCGTGCATTCAGTTAGAGAAAGGATATAGCTTTCATCTATTCACATGTACTTAAACAATATTTAAAAATCTTTCTTTAGACACCTTCTATATTAGCTTGAATGATGTAAAACCCTTAATTTTTTCTTTTTTTTGTAAGAAGTTATATTTTATTATCTATAAGAACTGGCACAAAGGAGTGATCATTGAACATTAATTTTTTCTTTCAACTCAAAATTACTAAGTTTCTACTTTACTCAGAGTTTTCCTCTTCTAGTTTTTACTTGTTCCAACTTTTTCTTTAAAAAGTCATTTTGGGAATGAAAAAACAAGAAGATGCCAGGCACTGGTGGCTCATGCCTATAATCCTAGCCACTCAGGAGAATAAGATCTGAGAATAATTGTTCAAAGCCAGCTCAAGCAGGAAAGTCTGTGACACTCTTATCTCCAATTGATCACAGAGAAAGCTGAAAGTGGTGCTGTGGCTCAAATGGTAGAGCACTACCCCTGAGCAAAAAGGGGTTCAGGGACAACACCCAAACCCAGAGTTTGAGCCCCAGGACTGGCAAAACAAAAACCAAACAAACAAGATGACAAGTATGTAAGAGACATGAAGACACAGAAAGAAGAGATACCCACAGGTAAGTACACAAAGGTCTTTATGAGCAGAGCTCAGAGACTAAGATTGATAGATATAACACACCCACTTTATTTTGTCCATTGTGGGACTTGAACTCAGGGCCTAGGTACTGAGCTCTTTTACTCAAGGCTGGCATTCTAGCACTTTGAGCTACAGCTCCAATTCTGGGTTTTGAGTTGATTTTGAGTCTCATGGGGACTTTTCTGCCCCAGCTGGCTTTGTACATGACCCTTAGATCTTAGCCTCCTGAGTAGCTAAGGTTACAGGCATGAGCCACTAGCGCCCAGCTTATACCCACCTTAAACTGGCCTCGATTCCCACCTACTAGTTGGGCATTTTGAATAGTGCAGATGTAGGGAGCATTGGAACTTTTTTTTTTTAACCCTTTGTCCTTCAAGAAATGGGCTTTCCACTTGATACATGTTATTTTCTTTGAGAAATGGTTCTTAGCCAATCAGCAACTATAAAATTCAGTGATTCCAGAAGAGAATCTAAGGTGATAATCTAGAAGAATATATCTGTGCCCATTACCAATTTATTGCCCTTCAGCTCTAAATTCACTAAGATGATGGAGCAAATCCCTTCTAACATCTTTCCTTCACACTGAGCACCATACTCCTCTTTCTCAGCAGAGGGCGCTAGAGCAGTAAGAGGGGAAGAAAGACAGTGGCTCCTCTAATGGGATGATGTTCCATTAAATCTGTTCCAAGTTGAAAATACTGTACGTTGAAATGCACTTGATAAACCTAACCTACTGAGCATCCTAGCTTAGCCCAGATTCAGAAGACTTACAAACTATTGAAGAGTCATGTGATTTACCGAATACTATATTGAAAGTGAAATGAAATGGCTATATGGATGCACTTCTGTACCATTATTAAGTTTTTAAGAAGTTGTAAGTTAATCCATTATAAGCCGAGGGCTGTCTGCAGTCTTGCTGTTAGCCTTCGAGTCTGTTGCTTGATTGGGTGAGTGGTGTGGGCAGGAGGGTATCTAATTGAATTCTTCTCCATCTCCTATGCCCAAAATGTGTGTTGTCTCAGTACCTTACAGCTCCAGCTTGTTGGTAACTTTCTCCTGTGCCTACTATGAACCCAAGCCCTAAAAGATTCCTGTCTCCATCTGTGCCCTGGGCTCAATGCCAATACCAACTCTAATCTTTCCTGGTCACCTGCAACCCAGAGGGTTCTCACTGAGTGGCCACCCTTTCTGTAGGCATGGTCCTTCTGTTAGTTGATGCATTTGCATGCCCAGGCTATTTCTTGCTTGCCCAGGGAGTGCAAATCAGTGGGCAAAGCAGTGGAAGTGAAGCTGTGGCTCTAGCAGCAGACTGCTAACCTTGAGCAAAAAACACCTCAGGGATAACACCCAAGCCCTTAGTTCAAGTCCCAGTACTGATATAAACTATAACTAAAGGTAGACCTCCAGGCATATGTTTTAATTATTAAACTTCTAGTGACTTTAGATCAGATGTTAGCAATGGATTGCTAGGGGAGTTGGGATTTAAATCCTCCCAGGGGACCTCCTTCAAGCTCTTAACTCCTCACCTCAAATGTAGCCACTGTTTCTTAAGGGTTAACCCAAACGGGCTAATCTTTCAGTCTAGTGAATCTGCCAGTTGAGCAAAATGAAATGTAAAATGTTCCCTTGCCGCAAAATACAAACTGTTTGGTTTCGATAGTGTCTCAGAGAAACCCAGACACTTCCTCTGTGACTCCTCCCTGCATTCTTTGGGGCTGAGCAGCCACAAGAAACAAAACAGCACGAGAAAAGGTGGAGTCACCAGACAGGTAGTGACAGGCCCAGGACTTCCCTGCGTGGCCCAGGGCAGGCAGACCTGCTGACTCTGTGGCAGGACATTGTCCTTCCCCACTTCCCCAGTCGTATCATTTGAGTATTGCACAACATCCCACCTAATTTGTAATAGGAAGCATGGCTGAAATGACTGATCCCCAACAAGCACGCTCAGTGATTGCAGATTTGTTCTGCAATGCACATTGCAGCTGCTCTCATGGTCTCTCTGGGGGGATCCTGTTAGGAGGAAGGGCTTCTGATGTGAACCTTTGAATAGAGGGAGAAGAATGCAAAAATGTTGAAGGGATGAGAACACAGGCTTCTTTTCTTGCCTACAGGCATCAAAGGTAAATTCTGAAAGCTGAGTTAGTCATTTCTTCAAAGCACAGAGGTTAAGTCCCAATACATGTCACCTCTCCCCAAGAATCAGATTTCAAAGCCCCACTTTGGTACCTGACTCATTTCACACAACACACTGTGATGAAGGGGAGGGACATGGGCTGTGGCCTGTCAATCATCACCTGTCACTCTGCTGTGGGAGTCACTTCTTCATGGATGAATTAGAAAAGTCACCAGGAAAATGGAATGTGTAACATGCTCCAGTCAACTCCTGAGAAGCAGGCATCTGCTGGCCAGCTCCCAGTCTGGTCTCACTGCAGGACCTGAGGACCCAGTGAGGTGGACTCCAGGCTCCTGGCTTCGCCCAACTCTAAGGACTTGTCAGCCAGATACAGTTTTTGTCTCTCGTGGTTAGTGTGGCTATGGACTGTGGTCCCTGCCTGTCCAGATTTCCTGGGAGATGGGGACTGGGAATGTGTGAAGCCTTCGAAACCATTCCTGGGAAAGCAAGGTGCTGATCCATTTCTACTAAGGGCGTCACACGGCGTATGTCATCTGAAAAGAAAAGCAATAGCTTTGGTTGTTTACCAGAAACTTCTGGGTGCTGTGTGGATTCTAAGTTAATCATAAGCCATTTGCACTGGGATGAAACTAAAGTCTTGATCTCTTAACCAGATGATAAAAAAAATGCCGTCAGGCAATAAAAATATAACTAAGGAAAAAAAGGGCATTTGGTGTATCTTTGGGGTGTGTGTGCATGCATATGCTCCAGTATTGGAACTTGAACTCAGAGCCTGGGTGCTGCCCAAGCCTGATTGGTTGGAGGTTGCCAGTCTACCACTTGAGCCACAGCTTCATTTCTGGCTTTTTACTGGTTAATGGGAGATACATTCACAGACCTTTTCTGCTCAAGTTGGCTTCAAACCTGAGTCCTCAGATCTTAGCCTCCTGAGTAGTTAGAATTACAGCCATGAGCCACTGGCACACAACCTCCCCCCCCCCCTTTTTTTTTGGTTGGTCATGGGGCTTGAACTCTGGGCTTGGGCACTGTTCCTCAGCAATTCAGCTCAAGGCAAGCACTCTACCACTTGAGCCACAGCGCCACTTCCAGTTTTCTACTAGTTTATTGGAGATAAGCGTCTCATGGGCTTTCCTGCCCAGGCTGGCTTTGAACTGTGATCCTCAGATCTCAGCCTCCTGAGAAGCTAGGATTATAGGCATGAGCCACCGGAGCCTGGCTTTTCTGGTGTTTTACCAGCTCTGAGCAAACATGTGGGCAAACCAAGAGCTCAGAAGGAACCACCTGCTCAAAGTACGAGGCTCCTGCCATCTCCAGTGGCTAGCAACAGGCTGGCGCGTGGCCCGCAGCCTCCTCCTCCCACCCTCCAGTTTAACATGCTGCCAAGTTGGGCAACAGAATCCCCTGAGTTGCCACCAGCAAACCACCGTGGTACAAATCCAGAGGTTATACTAAAAGTATAATTGATAGGTTTGATAATTTAGTAAAAACAACTTTTCAAAAACCATCATTGAAATAGCCTGATAAATATATCTCACTAAATCAGCAATAGTTCAGAGTGAACTGTATGGGATGACCGCATGAATGTTTTGAATTGGTTTGAATGCTGAACTTCCTTCTCCAGTTGTAGAGGCTTAGTACTAGGAAACACGGGGATAAGCATGTTGCTTAAAGTCTTACCCCTGAGAAAGCCAGGGGATGCTGATTGGTACAGGAGACTACTGACCAAGTCAGAAAATGGAACTCGGATTCCCTCAGTTGAATGCAAGTATAGAATACTGGCTGATATTTATAAAAAATAATCAGACAAGTCACGAGAACAAGGAAAGAAAAAACGAGTCTCCACGCTTGATGCAGCTGTCTTTGGAATTCTTCATTAAGGTTTTCACAAAGTACAAAGTTCAAACGTAATTGTCTACATCCACCACAAAACAGAATCAAATAAGTGGTTAGCACACAGACATCATGATCTTCATTTTTAAAAATATAAATAACAAAGTTCAAGGCTTTACAACTTCCTTCTCAGCGTGTGTGTCTTTTTAAGGCTTTGTGTTGCTGACCCTTCATGTATGGTATGTGTACCCGGTTATCAGGGCACGCTGCCTACCAGCGAGGAAGGCCACTATGGATACATTCCTGAGGGTGACACTCACTGATCTCGGCTGCCTCGGTCTGTTAAAACCTACATGCCCAAACACTATCCACGCACTGGTCACAGTTTCACTAACTTTCCTTCTAATACTAAGTAATAAGAGAAAGGGGTAAGTTTCCAGCAGCATCCAAGCTCTCAGATAAATCGGGAAAGGCAAGAAGGAAAACCCAGGCTTCTTCTTGGATAGAATTTTCTTCCTTTTATCCAGGAAAACCCCAATCACCCAGAGTTTACATGGTGGTTGACAGTGAAACACTGCAGATTAAATAGTGTTGAGGGAAGTGATGATCTTTTGGTGGGGTCTCTTAGAAGAGGTTAAAGTGGAGAGGTTAATGTGGGGCCCATGCCGGTGACAGCCCAGCCCCCTACGGGGGTCCCTGAGCTCGAGAGGTCTGCAGGCAGAGCCAGGGCCCCGGTCTTGGGAGTGAAGTTGGAGGGAAGACTCTCTAGCAGACACTTGACCTGCTCCTGGCCCAGCTTTATCTTGTCATCTAGTTTTCGCTGCTCGATAAGGAGTGTAGACTTCATTTTCACGAAGTGCTGGTAATCCTGGAGTTGTTCCTCTGAGAGGTAATTGGCCAGGATGGCCAGGACGGCGCGTTCCCTGCGGTCCAGGTTCTCCTTGAGCTCCCGCGCATCCTCGTGCTGCCCGGCCAGGACCTTCCTTTTCTCATTCAGAGAGCTCTGCCAAGGCAAGATGAAAAGATTAGCACAGGGCAAGAGGAAGGGATGGAGGGAGGAAGGGAGGAGCGAGATAGGTCACCCATAGGGCAATGTTATATAGGACTGCAAAAACTAAGTTTCAGCTGGGTGCCAGTCACTCATGCCTGTAATCCTAGCTACTCAAGAGGTTGAGAACTGAGGATCATGGCTTGAAGCCAGCACAGGCAACAAAGGTTGTAAGACTCTTAGCTTCAATTAACCAACAGAAAGTGGAGCTGTGGCTCAAAGTGGCAGAACACTAGCCTTGAGCACAAAAGCTCAGGGACAGCGCGCAGGCCCTGAGTTCAAGCCCCACAAATGACAAAAGAAAAAATACTTCAAGTGCTTGGTTATTACTTCAAATACAGTCAGTAAGGAGACTGATAGTTCTAGAGCAGCTTATAACCTTGTTGTTGTACTTATATAGCATGTCTTTTTCCCTTATGAAGTCACTTGGTAGTTTCAGGATGAGGAGGTAAAATGGTTGGGGTAATGACCTGGCTTTTGGGGTCTAATCTTAGAGGCAATTGATCATCCAAGCATCCTGAGTACTTTTATGATAATGGCTCCCACAGCCTCTAGTCTACTGGCTGAGAAAATCTCTGGAGAAGGGATCCTGAACTCTTATGTGTTAACAGGACTTCCTGGGGATTTTTTTTTTTGACATTTCAGGGTCTCTCTCTAATGTAGAACAATTGCAATATTCTCCAGCTCTGAAGACATTAATTTCCAACTTCTAGGTTTATTCAGCTTCTGAATAAAAAAATGAGGGATTCGTATTAAAACTGTAAAAACTTTAAAATGACATTTTACTGTTCAGACTTTTCATGCTAAAGTGATCCCCTAGCCAGCGGTGAGATCTCCCCTGGCAACGCCTGGAGGGAAAGTACATTACCGCACAAATACCTCCATCTTCATAGGCTGCTCTCCTTAACCAGAAGCAGCCCTAAAACAGCCCTGAGGAAGTGAATCTAGTGAATATAGGCACTTTTCAAAATACTGTAACTAGAGGTTAAAAAAAACAACAACACATACACACGAAAACCAGAACTTTGAACTCACCTTTAAAAAAATCATATGCCATTGTAAACATTAGAAGTGTACAGCAAATACCCACCACTCTGTACATCCAACGTTAGCATAAATGGTTTGTATATGTATTTCAGAGTTCCACTGTATTTAGAGTTCCACTGAAGCCTTATGGGTAATCTCCAATGCATAACTACTGTGCTCTACTGGCAGATACAGGGCCCCTGCTCTTCTTATTTCTAGTCATGTTTAGTTTTATTTTTCTTTTCTTGTGCTGGCACTATGACTTGAACTCAGGGCCCTCATGCTTTTGCTCATGACTGGCATTATACCTCTTAAGCATGCCTCTGGTCCTGCTCTTTACTGGTTTTATTGGAAATGAAGTCTCAAGGACTTTTGTACCTAGGCTGGCTTTTGAACCTCAACCTCCTGAGTAGCTAGGATTACAGGGAGGAACAACCAGTGCTTGGCTATTTTCAGGTTCTTACAAAGCACCAATCAGAATAAAAAGCTCATGTTGACGGGCTGGGCATGGTGGAATATTATCAGTTGCAGGACAGCCTGGGCTACACAGTGAGCCTCTATTTCAACAAACACCAAAGGGGAACCCCCGGCCCTTTTTACGGATGTAGTACATCGTAAGGATTTATGAGATGGGACATAATGAAAGTCCTTAGGTGAATTTTACCCAGGGAGGCCAGTGCATTGTTAGCTGGGCTCCTCCTTGCAGGAAACACGGACGAGGCCTCAGTGCCTTTTCTGGTGCCTGGGCCCCTCACAGCGGAGTCCCTGGAGCTTCGAGTTTATATTCCTGCCCTTCCATTACCCCTGTTACCTTTGTGACCCAGCTCTGTTTTAGAGCACAGCTCTTATCATGTGGAGGCAGCTGGGAGGACATGCACTTGGGCACCTGTTAACCGCTTTCCCACGTGTGCTCTGAGTCCTAAGGGTCAGCATTACACCCTGGCATGGCAGAAGCCACTTTCTCTCTTGGCCACTTATATTTTACCATCTCTAGGATGACCACAATCTTCTTGAGAAAAGAGGCCATGTCTAACTGCACCTCTCATATGTGCATAGGCTCAGAGAGAAAGCTCCTTCAACTGCGCTGCTAGCCCACATACCCTTTCTTCATTACTGGCGTCTTCCCCAAGGCCACTCAGAACGTTCTCAACCCGGGCGAGGCGCCCGGAGAGGGATAGCAGCAGGTTGACCACCTTGTCCAAGTCCCCTATGAACATCTTGTACTTGTCAAACTCGTTGGGCTTGCATAGCTCACTGATCAAAGCCTCCACCTCTTCTCCCAAGGCGTTGTTAAGCTTGATATCCATGAGTAGACTCCCCTTTGCTTCCTGGAGGGTCTCAAGTTTGTGGGTGAGGCTTCCAATGAGCTCAGCCTATGACGGAAGACATACACATAGAGATGAGCCAGCAGGATTCATACCTCACAGACACATGATGTAGTCATCAGGGCACAGCTGAACGTTCCTACCTTCCACACTCCCAAATCAGGCTGTAGGCCGTGCGCGTGTGCGTGTGTGTGTGTCTACCAGTATTGATGCTTGAACCCATGGCACGCGCACGTGTGCGTGCGTGTGTGTGTGTGTGTGCTTGAATTTAGGCCCTGGGCATTACCCCTTAGTTATTTCACTCAAGGTTAGTGCTTTTTCACTTGAGCCATAGGTCCATTTCTAGCTGTTTGGTGGTTGAGTGAAGATAGGAGTCTCATAGACTTTTCTGCCCCTGTTAGCTTGAAACTGCAATCCTCAGATCTGGGATTACAGGCTATGAGCCACCAGCAACCATCCAATCTCTCCTTTTCTTGAGCAGCTACACCTGCTTTTTTCTGAACCTATTCAGCCTTCACAAGCTAACACCTGACTGATTGCATGCGGTCTCATCAGGTTTTCTAATTGTCAGATTTTGCCTTTCCAGTTGGTTTGTTAGTGACTCACACTGAAAGTCCCTTTGTAGCATGTTTTTGTTTGGTACAAGGATATCCTGGATAAGGAGGAAAGTAGGCTGACATGTTTCTTGAAGAGTCAGAAGAATGACTGGATCTGCCCGAGGTCTGAGCACCGAGCTGAATATTAGTTGAAGAGCAGTCACTACGTAGTGTGAGAAACTGTACCATATCTCATTCGGCACCCTCCCCAACCCACCCCCAATCCTGTAGAGATGACTACTCCTCACACAGCAGGTGAGGCCAGGAAGACTTTGTGATTGTCACATCACATGCATAAGGTAGACTACCTTGAGTGCAGGCAGCCTGACTGAGGGGCTCTCCTGTACCGCCATTACACACACCGACACCAAACTTCACCAGAAAGCCAATGCCTTGGTTTCATAACCTCGCTGTTCCGAGTGACCAGACTCATGCACAATCTACGTACACCTATAAGACGAGGCTACACAAATACCCAGCACATCTAACTGAAGGAAGAAAACAAATGTCTTTGTGACTTCAAGCCTCATTTCATTGCATTTCATTGCATTAATAGATGTTATTTACTTTGCTCCAAGAGAAATTCATGATTTCATCTTTTTCATAGCTTAAGGCAGCCAGGAAAGAAACAACCAAAAAAAAATCTATTTATTGCACACAAAAGAAGTTGGAGCTTGCTTAGGGTTAAGCGATGTGGAATAACATATATAGAATAACAAGCGCCACCAATACCAAAAAACTCCCACCAAGTTCCAGCTTAATCCACACACTTTTAAGCCAAGTTTTATGTCTCAAGCTGAAAACTTGGTTTGCAAAAAAAAAAAAAAAAAAATCAAGGTTCCAATCAATCTTTTGACTATATCTTCATTTTAAAAATTGAGGGAAAAGAACCTGTGTGTGTGTGTGTATCTTGTGTCTAGTAAAACCAAAGGATTCTGACAGCTTCCTGTATTCTCTCTCTTCATGTGAGCACAGTTAGGAATAATATCATAGTGATCAGGAAAATCTTTATTTCTCTATGATCTGTCCGTCGGAGGTTCTTTTTCCTTATCTTCTCCTGGAAAACTCCACTGCTTTCCACAAAAAGCTCTTCTGGCTGGCGGCTGTGGTGTATATCTGGCAGGGACCACCAGAAGAAGGCCTGGCAGGGGCGATGGACTACGTTCATACGAAGAGAAGAGCATGGACACTGGAATGAAATGCAGCAGGAGACAGCACTGCATGCAGAGTGTCATCTAGTGCTCCCAAGGGTCAGGGCTAAGACCAGCTAAATGTCTCTCCTATTCCTCAGGTAGATCATGAGAGAAGCTGACAGCTACACACGTCAGCCCTGGGATTTTTAACCTTGTAGTTTAGAGCTGTTAGGCTGTTCACTCTAAATATTATGGCAACACTTTCTTGTAGAAAACTGGGTTACAACAAACTGCACACACTGCATTCTCAGGAAAAGGCCTTCTGCTCATTCTCAGGAAAAGGCCTTCTGCTCATTCTCAGGAAAAGGCCAGCTGCTCATTCCAATTTTTGGCATCCATTTCAACCTCACATCCTGAGAAGGGAAATTTCTAGAAAATACTTTAAAAAATTGTGGGAAGAAAGGAAAGTAACAGGTAACTGCCTCATGGTTTTCATTACCTTTCCAATTTTTTTTTTCCTTTTTGTGCTGGTACAGGGTTTAAATTCAGGGCCTAGAAGCTGTCCCTTAGCTTTTTTACTCAAGGCTAGTGCTCTACCATTTGAGCTATAGTTCCACTTTTGCTTTTGCTGGTTAACAGGAGATAAGAGTCTCACAGACTTTTCTGCCTGGGCTGGCTTTGAACTGTGATTCTCCTTGGACTCCTTAGTAATTAGGATTAAGGTATGTGCCACTAGTGCCTAAATGACATACCACTGCATGTCCTTATTCCTGGAAGGAACTTAAAACACTGCTTGTGATGTAGTTTATGTCTTAAAAGAGCCCTCATTACAGCTTTCAGAGGCTAGACTCAAAAGGGACAAATGTGACACATAACTATTGGCAGCAGGGATGAGCAGATGGCCCTGGCAAGATGTGTTGTGATGAGGCTGGGAGAACTTGACCTCTTGAGGTTCTTCTCAGGGGTCTCAGCCGATCAGCAGTACGCAAGGGGCAGCCATGGAGTAAGCAGGGCTCGGCATACAGGATGGCCAAATTGTCTGACACAGCCAATGGGGATCAGGCTCGGGAGCCTCATCTACTAGGGCTTTCCATTCCAGATCAGTTTTGTTTTTCAAAGGCACAGATGCTGGCCAGACATAAATATAGGTCAGGAGTTCAAATGTATTCTATCTGTAGGCTTTATGGTCTAAGAAACAGTAGGAGAAGAAAATGTCTGGGGTGAGAAGAGGGAGGCTTCTGTGGGGTTTATTTTTATACTATCAAGCCCTTAAATATGAAAATTTGAATTTTAAAAGTACAGGGAAGAGGGATTTTGAATAACTGAAGGCATCAAGGGAAAATTGGCCATAGAAAGTCATTTCTTGGCCAGGCAAATCTCTACTTAAAAAAGAATATCCTAAACTACTCATTTCTACCAGCAGAATTTGCTGGGGGAGAAGGGCAGGGCGTGTGCATTAATATCAGTTTCTTTGGTGCTATTTGGGAAGTCATTGACATTTATCCAATTTATCGAATGTTAACTCAGTGTGCATGACATACCACTTATAAGGGCACATTCAGACATAGGTTAACAGACCTCCCTCCTACCTCACCATCTGTACACACAAGGCCCTGCTGGGACCTTTTTCTCTGCTTCATGGCTCCAGGATGAACACAGTCTATGAGTCAGAGATTGGGCACTGACATAAAATTAGCCACCAGGCTAACTGACCTTCAGTGCCTCCGTTACCCATAGCAAGAGGGATGGTTTGTTAAAACTAGTAATAATGCCATAATCACTGAGTTCCTTCTCTATCAGGCGCTGTTTAAGTGTCTTACTATTAATTCTCTAGACAGTCTCATGAGGGTGTGTGTGTGTTGGTACTGAGACTTAAAACTCAGGGCTTGGGCGCTGTTTAAGTGTCTTACTATTAATTCTCTAGACAGTCTCATGAAGGTGTGTGTGTACAGTGTGTGTGTGTGTGTGTGTGTGGTCTCATGAGGGTGTGTGTGTGTGTGTGTGTGTGTTGGTACTGAGACTTAAAACTCAGGGCTTGGGCCCTGCCCCTTAGCTTTTTTACTCAAGGCTGGTACTCTACCACTTGAGACACTTTTGGCATTTTGGTTTTGTTTTTTTTTTTTGAAGATAAGAGACTTGAGGACTTTCCTGACTGGGCTGTCTTTGAATCACGATCAGATCTCAGCCTCCTGAGTAGCTAGGATTATAGGTGTGAACCACTGGCACCTGGTTGAAGTAGGTATTTTTGTCATTTGCATTCACTGATGAACAAGGCAAGGGAGACTGAAGTTACTGAACTCACCTACACATCTAGTAAGTGGCAGAACCAGGCTTAAATTCAGGTTGTCTGGCTTCAGGGATCAGACTTGTAATCACTAAATTAAAATAGTTCACTGGAATATTACAAGGCTCAAATGAAATAAGGCTATGCTACCACTTGACTAAGTAGAAAAGTATCACACATATTTGGTATTTGTGTGTGTGCGTGCGTGCGTGTACACTCACATGCACACTGGCCTAAGAACTGGACACAATCTGAAGATCACATTGCACTCGTTTTTAGGTAGATACCTTGAGGGGATACCCAGTTTCTCCTCACACATGATGCTTGCCTTCTGGTGACAACGATGCCAGTGACATCACTACAAACACAGTTGGCTTCTATTGATGATCTTCATCTGAACAAGTAAAATTCAGGTCTACTGGCAGGATGTAAAAACAGACTAGGAAACCGGGCACTGGTGACTCATGCCTCCTCAGACTCAGGAGGCTGAGTCTGAGGATTGTGGTTCAAAGCCAACCCAGCCAGGAAAATCTGTGCAATTTTTATCTCCAATTAACCACCAGAATACTGGAGGTGGCCTTGTAGCTCAAAGTGGTAGAGCACTAGCCTTGAGCAAAAGAGCTCTGGAACAGTACCCAGGCCCTGAGTTTAAGCCCCACAACCAACAACAACCACCAAAGAAACAGAATGGGGTTTAGGCTTCTTCTGGTAAAAACCAAAACTGGGAAAAGCCACTTCTATCTCATAGGCTTTGATTCTTTCTTTGGTTCTAAATGGGAAAAGCAGGCTGAATGAAGGACATTACTGCTGTCTTTGGCTGAATTTCAACCAAGAAAGACAAGGTCAAGGCAGTTTCTGTCCAGCAACCAGACTAAACCTTCATTGGCTGCTGTGTGACCTGATCAAAGCAAAAAGATTATATGGCCTGACAACCATGCCAAACATTTTCTCTCTAGCACATTTTCTGCAAAGAACCCATTGGCATTTCCTCTGGAGGAAGCCTGCAGCCAGAGTGCCATCATGTGGACTTGGTAC